CCGGGAGCCCAGCAAAGGGAGCACGAGGCCTGGCTGGACCATTTCACACGAATTCTCTCTCAGAGATGAGTGAGGTCTGTCCCCTCTCCTCCTGTCAGTGTGGAAACCGGGGGCCCAGAGAAGAGGAGGGGCTTGGCCGAGGGGCGTGGCCTGTTTGTGGCGGAGCCAGGCTTCTGGCCCGGCCTGGTTTCCTCGTTGTATCACTTGGAGCTGAGCACCTAACGAAGGCAAAGGAAAGCTCCATCCAGGGATTCGAGCCTCCCTTTTCTGTTCGTCTTGACGAGGAGCCTGACCTTGTGGTGGGAAAGCGCTGGACACCGTCACAGCAGCACAGAGGCAGCTTTTGCCTTAGCAAGGTCAGTGAACCCACTGAGGTTGCCAGCCCCACGCCAGGAGGAGGCAAAGCACAGCACAGTGTGCTGCTCGTGGGAACCAGTGAGTGTCCTCAGGTCCGTGTCCACTGCCTCCAGTGAGGCAGGTGTATCGTCCTCACAGAGAGGGTGCGTGATTTGTCCAAGATCACACAGCTGCTGTTTGACCTTCGTTTTGCTGACTCCACAGCTCAGACTTGTTCCGGTCCGTCACAGTACCTCCATTGTGGGCTCTGACCCACCTGCCTCTCTCCATCGCCACCATGATTCCAGCCAGGCCACTGTCACAAGTCCCCAAGGTGCCTTTCAAGGCCCTGTGCATCTCCGGCCTGATGCCATGTTGTTCTCTCTCGCTCACCTCTCAGGCCACACTGACGAGCTCTTCGCTGCCTTGTGCCCTTGGTACATGGCTTTGCACCCTTGGCCTGAATGTTGGTTAAACTTTAGCTTCAGTGTCCTTTTCCCAGCGGGGCCCTCTGTGACACACCGTCATTCTTTCTCACGGTACTTCCTTCGTGGCGCTTATCACACTTTGCGGTTCCCATTTACTTGTGTTTCTCACTTGTCTTTCCCACCGTCCAGAAAGCTCTGTAGAGGCAGGAACCACGTGTGTCTCATTCAGTGCATGGCCCTAGCTCCTAGCAAGGTGCCTAGCGCACAGGAGGTGTTCTGTCCGCAGATTATTTTGGCAGTTACAGGCCACGTCAGGTATATGGTAGGCAGTCAATATGCATTGGTTTCTTCACTCATTGGAAGGTTCTCGAGTGTCCGTTTGGATCTTGATTTAAATGGGGAGTGAAGGTTCAGAGGGTTTGGACGTATCCAAGGTTCCTGATAGGTAGAGCTGTCATCACTCTGACTCTCAGACCTGTGTACTTCTGACTGTGTCATTGTACTAAACCAAGCTCCCAAGGGGAAATGATAATAACCACGATTATCATTACTATAACGATGATAATAACTGACAGCTAACACGTACCGCTTCCCGTGGGCCAGGCACCGTTCCAAGCACTTAACTAATCCTCACGACAGCCTTGCGAGAAAAGAGCTATTATGATTCCCCCTTTCACAGTGAAGACATGGAAGCAGAGAGAGGTTAAGTAACTTGTCCCGCAGCTGGTGTCAGGCGGGGCTGGAATTCAAACCCAGGCAGCCTGGCCCTGGAGTCTGCTCTGAAGTCTTGCCCCACGCTGCCTCCAATGCTGTGAAGAGGTTCAGGATGCCTGGGATGAGTCGATGCTGCTCAGGTTGCTGCCCTAGCCTCATCTCTGAGAGCCCCGGATACAAGCTCTACAACTTCCGAGTACAAAGCAGGATATATTTTATTAGCTAAAGAAGGAGGCAGTGTGGTCTCGAGGGAAGAGCTGTGAAGGTTCAGCGAGACAATGTGTACAACATGTCTACCTAGGGGATCCCGGAAGATGGGAAGATAATAGCACATAGTTTTCGAAGCTCTCTGGATCCCCGATGAAAGTCCACGGGGCAACTAGACAAGAAAGTTTTGAAGTTCATAGAAAACATTTACAATGAAACAAGCTGACGACGTAGCCCCATGAACCCCGAAATGCAGTTCGTGCCTACCTGCATGATACTGACATCCGTGCAGGAGAAAGCAGTGGGAGACCCCAAAATAGTCCACAGGTATTGCCTACAAAGTTAAGTTTACCAATCTGGGGACAACAGCTGAGACTGGGGGGCATTTTGCTCATCCCAGTGGCCAGTGTGTGCAGGAGGCTCATGAAAGGGTTGCACTGATGGAGCGTCTTAGCCTCTAGGGGGTCTTGAGACTGAGCCACCAGGCTCCCCTAAAGCTCAGAATCTCACACTACACAAAAAATTGCCAGAAATGAAGTAGAAAATTGAGTAGGAAAAAGGTCATAGGGACCATGGAGAAAGAAGGTCCACGTAATACGGAGGAATTTCAGAAAGCAAGCTGCCAACAATGAGGGAGCTCCAGGAAGTGAGGAAAACCACTGTGAACCATGCCTCTTACTTAAATTTCAGGAAAACTAATTTCACACAGAAATGTTCAACCAAAACTATCAAGGTTAAATCTCATACAAAGTATTTGTAAGAAAAAACAGTATAGAATGTCATCCCTCTGGGGAATGAAAGTATACCAGAAAGATATGCTCACAGACTAGATCGAAACTGTAACCTATATTGAAACAATAAAAACATCAAGAAAATGATCAAAAATGGAAGAAAAATGTGAGTCAGTATTAGGAAAAACTCAGGAGCCAAAATTATTATTAATCAGGAGCCAAAGTTATTATTAATCAGGAGCCAAAATTATTCGTAAACATGTATTTTTTTATAGGAGGTAATTGATTTTTCCCCTTTGGGAAATGAAGTGATGGAGCCGAGGAAATAATTTAAAATTAAAGCAAAAGAAATTTCAGAAAGAAATAAGAGAAAGAGAAGCTGAGAAGAAAAATTTTGTAATTTTAAAAACAATGAAAGAGATAAATAGGCTTGAAGATAAAGTGATGGATATTGGAGACAGGCAAAGAAGATCCAACATAGAGGTAATAGAAATCTCTGAAGAACTAACCCAAAACAAGGGGAGAAAAATAAATACTAAAAACAATAACTCTAGAAACTTTACAGAAAAAAAAAAAAGATTTGAAATTCCATACTGAAAGAACACACAACATACCTGAACATATCTACTCAGAGCAACCAATTCCAGACATAGTCCAATAAAATTACTGGACTTTAAAGAAAAGAGAAAACAAAGTTTGGGCATCTAGGCAAAAATGACAAGTGACTTCTAAGGGAAAAAATTATCAGACTTTTTCATAGTAAGAATTATACTAGAAGAAAAAGAATAATTAGGATGCTCAAGAAAATGTAACACCCGGATTTATACCCAACAAAAGTGACTTTTGTATACAAATGGCACAGTCTATTATCAACACGTGAGCATTAAACATACTCATAGAACTACAGGTAAATGAGTGTTACAAGAAAAAATACATAGTATGAATTGCTATACACCTAGACAGTGTAGATATAGCACACCTATTTAAAATTTGTAGGCAGAATGAGATAACATATCCAAAATATTATCTTAAATAATTAGGGAATGGTAATTTTGTATTATTATTCTGCGACTACTGTTTTAGAATATGGAATAAGCTAAATAAATAATCATGGGATATTCTATCATCATCTCCTATGTTCTTAAGAACCAAGATTCAGATATGGGAAAAAAAAAAGAGATTCCTTTGTAATGTAGAAGAGATCAAGTAACAAACAGCGTGGTCCTTGTTTTGAATCGGAAGTAGCAGTATTTTATCTTTAAAAATCGTGATGTATTTTATCTTTAAAAATGTCCACTGAAGACACCTAGAAACGATGGATATCCTGGTATCCAGATCGTGATATTGAAATAACATTTCCACTGAAAAACAAAACAAAAACCACACCCAAGACTTCACTTGCTGGGGCAGTAGAAGTACAAGATGAGGCTGGACCCCCTTGTCTTGGCAGATAGCAAGAGAGTTCCCCAAAATTAGACTGGGTCTAAAGGACTCAGAAACTAATCTGATTTTCCCTTTGGCTACAAAGGATAATACTCGCAGTAGACTAAAATCCATCTAATAGTTTAAGTCCTTGAGTTCATACTGATATTTAAAAAGTCCATTGGTAACCTCTAAATGATGATGGAGAGCTAGTTCGTCCTCCTGAAAACTGGTAAACAAGGGAAGAATCAAGCATGGATCTTGCTTTTCTTTTATGACGTGTACCCCCAGGAGCCAGATAGCATATGAGGGGAAGCAGCGTTTCAACTAATTGACGAAGCATATGTTTTGTGCAGCGCATACTGATATTTAAAAAGTCCATTGGTAACCTCTAAATGATGATGGAGAGCTAGTTCGTCCTCCTGAAAACTGGTAAACAAGGGAAGAATCAAGCATGGATCTTGCTTTTCTTTTATGACGTGTACCCCCAGGAGCCAGATAGCATATGAGGGGAAGCAGCGTTTCAACTAATTGATGAAGCATATGTTTTATGCAGCGTTTGTATTTGTGTTTTAAGATAAAGAGGTTTCAAAACTATGCCTAGCACAGGGCCTGGAACACGGACCTGTGACAAACTATGTCGCTTCTCCCACCTCCCGTCCGTCATGTGACAATGTAGATTTGATTTCTTTGCGGGGCACCAGGCGGGGCACTTTATAAACGCTCCATCGTTTATGACCCGTGCAGCCCACCCGACCAAGTGCTCCATGAGGCAGGACTCCCTTGATGTCCCTAGCATCTGGCAGCCGGCAGACACTCAAAACATCCTTGTCGAGTGAGTGAATGAACGAATGTGTTTTGCTGTTGTAGAAACTGGAGCTGAGTTTGTACAGTTGGCAAATAGCAAAGCCTCGCTTCTGCACAGCCAGGGCAGACAGAAACGGGGGCACCCCTGGCATTTGGGTCCCGATCCAGTTTGCAGGACGGGCCCTGGGGCTTCTCCATGGAAAACCTGGGCTGTGGAGGCCACCGCGGTTCTCTCCGACTGTGTCTGTGGGCCAGCTGCTCCCCGCCCAGCCACCTGCCGCTCCTCCCCAGACCCCAGCCTCTGGGAGTACTGGTTCCGACTTTCCCATAGCTTCTGTGTTCTGGTTCCCCTCAGGCTCCGCCAAGAGAAGACAGACACCGTCCGCTGCATCAAGTCTTGCCGCCCCAATGATGTCACCTGCGTGCTGGACCCTGTGAACACCATCTCCCACACCGTCGTCTCGCTGCCCACCTTCCGCGAGTTCACCCGCCCGGAAGGTGAGTGGTGACTCCCGCAGCCTGGAACGGGCGTGGGGTCCCAGAGGCGGCCATCGTCCAGTAAATGGCCCTGTGAGGCCGCCACTCCTGGGTGAGATGTGCTTTTGGGGTGCGAAATGCAGGTCAACCCCACCTCTGCCCGCATCTCCTCATGTCCCCAGACTGCACGGCACCGTGTGGCCTACTCCCAGCTCCCGGTTCAGAGGTCTTGTCTTCTGGGGAACAGTTGTTTGGATTAGGTGTTGATTCTGTGCCAGGCGCTGGGGAGTCTGGGAGAGCTTCCAGGAGGAAGTGACTTCCACACTGGAGCCTGAGCGATCAGAGTGGGGAGCAGGGAGGGAGGAGGGTGCCAAGCAGAGTGGAACACGTGGAAAGGTCTGTAGGTGAGTGGGGACTATGGGCATTTGGGGAACGAACCCTGGTTTTTCTGGCTGGAGCGGCAGAGAGTTGGCCATGGCTGAGCCAAAGGATAAAGTGGGAGCCTGAACTTGGAATTGGGACCTCAGCATCACCCTGGACACCAAGGGATAAGTGGACTGGAGGGGCCGGACTAGGTCCGAGGAGCACAGGAGTAAAGGGGTCAGTGTCCTCGCACCCGCTCCTGGCCTGCTGTGCAGATTGCCACCATGGTGCCCGCTCACTGGGGTGGGGCCGGGGCGACACACTCCCAACACCCAGTAAAGTGCCGTGCACGGGGCGCTGCTCTGCACACCTTGCTTCAAGGGGTGCAGCCCACGGGTCTCCAGCCACCCGTTTGCTCTATACAGTCTTTGTCCCTGGCCTTTGGAGGAGCTCACCATGACAGATTCATTCAGCGAACGTAGAACGTAGACAGAGCCTCCCACGTGTCCAGCTCATGGTCAGGCTTTGGGACCCAGGGATGAGAAAGAGCCCTCTCACCCCTCAGGGAAGCGTAGCCCTGTGTTTAGCCACTGCGACAGGGTCCTGCAGGTGACACAGAAGCACCCACCAGAACAGAGAACCTAGTCGTGGCTGGTGGCGAGGGCAGGAGAGGCTCCCCAAGGGTGCGGTTGCCTGAAGGAGCAAGTGGCCGGCCCCCAACCCGCTAGCTTGTTCCTCTAGAAACAGGAAGGCACAGAATCTTCACAGAGCGGCACAGACGTGGGTCAGAGAAAATCACTGACTGGTGTTTGCCTTGTGCAAAATGATGGGTTCCACCAAACCACACACAAATCCTTGCCGAAGCCCTAACGGCTGGTTCCATGGCCTCCCAGCTAATGCTGACCGAAATCAGCTCTATAGGGAGTTGGCCATGGCCAGACACACCAGTGCGCCCTCGGGCCCAGGAAACCCAGACCTTGACCTTGGGACCCTTAGTGGGCACCAGCGGGCTGCCTCCTTCACCTTACAGATGAGGAAACTGAGGCCCCGAGAGAGGCCGCCCCCAAGATGGCCCAAACCCAGGGTGGAGTCAGGGACTTGTGCTCCCAGCTGCACGCTGGGCGGTCTGGGAGGTGGACACAGCCACCGAACGGCCTAGCCCACCTTGAGAAGTAGTTTATTTGACCCGTATCTCCGTTGGGCAGGAGACCAGCCTGCTCCCTTGCCGTTTCTGGTCTCTCTCCCATCTCCCCTCCTGTAACCCCCTTCCCCTTCTCCTTCCTAGCTTCTCGAAGATTCTTGACTAATTACTAGCTACTTCTCAGTGCTGGCACTGCTGCTGATAAGTTCCATGACCTCGGGAAAGAGCCAAAAAAAAAAAAAATCTCTCCAGGCCTCAGTTTCCCCCTTGCTAGGGTGGGGGACCCCTCCGCCTTCTCCAAGCAGGGGTCTCTTCGTGCTGCATTCTGGTTACCCGAGGGTGCACTTCCGGTGGGCGGGGCCCCAGCGCCACGCCCCTTTCCATGACGCGCTTCCGCCTTGCAGAGATCATCTTCCTCCGCGCCATCACGCCGGCGCACCCCGCCAACCGCGCCGACATCATCTTCGACATAACGGAAGGGAACCTGCGGGACTCTTTCGACATCATCAATCGCTACATGGACGGCATGACTGTGGGTGAGTAGCCCGAGATGTCCAGGTCTGTCCAGACACGCCGCCTGTCCTCCTAGCGCGTCGCGCTAATTGGGCAGGAAAACGTCTCTGGACCAGCCCAGCTCCCATCTGAGTCCCCATCCAAAGTCCGACCCTAGTCGATCGCAGCTTGAGGCGTGCCCAGGGTGGTGGAGCCCGCCTGCGACCCGCCCCAGCTGTGCCACCGGCTCTTGGGGCGGCTCCTGTGGACCTCGGTCTCCCCACCCATAAACGGGTGGCTGACTAGATCTCTGTGTCTCACACCTGAGAATTTCAGACGAGGTCACACAGGTGGAGTGCGGTCCCCCAGTCGCTGCGGGCTAGTGTGATTTTCATACGTACAGCGCAACAGGCCTAGAGACGGGAGGTCAGAGGACCTCGCTCTGGTCTCGCCTGCGCCCGCCTTGCCCGTGTCCAGGCTTTGTCCCTTTCCGTGTGTCAGTCCTGCAAGGACAGAGACCACGTGGTGGTACACGCGCACAGCCCCTCTGACCGTGGGGTGCTTCGAGGACTTGCTCCTGGAGATTCAATGGCACAAAGAAAGGCTGGGGCAGGAGACAGTTACAGTGGTGGCAGCTGAGGGTACGTCTCAGGTGAAGAGGGAGGGGAAGTGGAGGCGTCTGGGGGACTGGTTCACAGTACCTCTCCTGAACTGTCACCTAAAGAATTCAAGTTCATGCGGCATAAGGATCAGAGCTGCTCCTGGGGACTTAGATTTAGACTGAACATTCTCCACGTGGCCGGGCCACCCAGAGCCAGGCTGTGTCGCCACCTGGGCCTCGGGTTGCCCACTGTGAATGGGGGCGGTGGGGCATGGGCTGTGTGGTCTCTGAGGCCCCAGGTTCTGTGAGGTCTTGACCTGGAGGCAGAGTCCTCTCAGATGGCCCCCTGAGCAGAGCGTTTTGGAACATGGTCTCTAGGTGGCACTGTTGGATCTCAGAATCCCAGGCCTGGAAGCCCTGAACCCGACCGTTTGTTAAACTGGCAGCTGGAGACGGAATCGTTATCCCCTGCTGCCAAAGGGCCATTTATAGCGACTTTACAAGCTCTTAAATGGGTCTGCACGTTGTAAACACGACTGAGTCATGGGGGCTCCCCAGCCTCCTCCTCCGCTGCTTGGCAGCAGGAGTAATTAGTTAATTACAATTAATGCTACATTAGCCCTCGCTGGCATCCCGAGGGCAGGACATGCAGTGTGGTTGTCAGCGGTCCCAAAAGCGCCGCTTGCCCTGGAGTCGCCGCCCACTCTGGCCTCAGTTTCCCCCACTGTTAGGTAAAGAGGCCCTTAAGGGACCTTCAGGAGCCTGGGGATGAGGACAGGCAGGAGGAAGTCGAGTTTGTCCCGCCTGTGTGTGTGCTGGGTGGGGACGGCGGGCAGCCTGATGACACCCACACACAAAAGGCCACCTCGCGTCAGCCCTGTGCTTAATGGTGGGCCTGCAGGTGTGGCTGCAACATGGCCGCCCAGGGTAATTCACCTTGGGAGTTGGAATCAGACCCTTCCTGGGCCCCCATCTGTACCAGGCCCTGGGCCAGGCGTTGTGGGTACAGATATGGATAAGCACCACATGGCTCCTGCCCCTTGGGGCTTTGCATTCCAGCAGGGGAGAGAGACAGCCCCCAACACAGATCACGAAAACACGACGCGGAAGGAGATGGGTCTGGCCTCCCCGGCCTTTGGGGGCTCCTGGAGCTGGGGTCCCTGCAGTGTTTGCACCTCCAGCTTCTCAGCTAAGTCTTCCTTGGGGTGTCCATGCCAGAGGGTTGGACAGCGGCCAGGCCCAGATCTGTTGTCCACCAGCACAGTTTTCTAGCTGAATCTATACTCTAAATAGACCCATTTGGGAAGCTGTTTCTTCCCATTTACTGAGGCAGAAAATCTTGGCGTGTCAGAGCCTCCTGGAGACCGCCTCTGCCAGCTGCTTTTGTAGAAGGGGAAACAGAGGCCCAGACAGGTGAGGGGGCTCGCCAGTCTTCTCACCGTGACCCGGGCAGAGTGGGGAACAGGACGGAGCCCCAGGGAGAGGGGACCACAGGTGCCCCTGCTCTCTGGGAATGGAATGTGGATAAGGCCACAGCGGCTGTCCGTCACTGCACGTAGTCACACGTGCCCTGGTCTTTGGAATTCCAGGCTGGTGCTCGGGCGGGAGGGCCCAGGCTGGCCCTTGGGCTATTGTCCTACCTGTAGTCCTAGCGCCCTCGTGGGCCCAGCCTCTTCCACTCCTCAGTGTGTTCATAGGGTGTCCCATCTGGTTGGGCTCCTGGAGTTGGCCAGTGTCATCTCCCAGGTGGAGGACCAAGGTCACAGCAGGCAGGGTCTCACTGGGGTGTGACCCAGGCCCTATCTCACTGGGCTCGTCTCTATACCCGCCGGTCGCTGCCTTATTTCTCTGCCTGAGGTCGTGGTCTCTTCGCTCGGTTCCCTTATCCCCACCTCCTTACTTCTCCTCCTCTGCCCCAAATAACATCTGCGCACCCCAGGAGCTTCCAGGCCTCTGGGGGTGGCCATCCCGCCACATGCTGGCCTTGGACGTGGTGTGGTGTTGCGGCTTCGGCCTGCCCGTGGGGTGGATTGCTGTGCTGCTGGACCGAAGCCCAGCGCGGTCAGATGGAGACACATCGTGAGTCTCATTCACCCCCACGCTCATGCTCCCTGCTCGGTCCTCACAGATACCTGCAGGGGTCGGTGGGACTGTCTCCCCTGGGCAAAGGAGGGCGCTGAGTAAATGACTTCACAAGACTGCAGGCCCGGGATGCTCGGGAACTTGTTTTCAGTGATGCAGTTTTCATTTCAAGCAATGTCATAGACAGAAACCCTTTACGTCATTGCAGAGGGGAAAGCGTTTTGGGGGGCTATTCAAGCCTCCTATTTGTTATGCCCCAGCAGGGCCTGGGGGGGTCCCCTGGCCCAACGAAAACCAGCACGCAGCCCTACGCTGCCTCAGCACCCAAGAAGGGACAACCCACCTACTCACAGATGTTAGCTGAACACTTGCCCACTCTAGGCCACGGCCTCTGAGGACCCAGGTCAGGGAGGCTTCCTGGAGGAGGTGAGGTCTTGAGCTGAGTCTCGGTTCACGTGAAGGAGCAACTAACACTGAGTGAGTGCCTGGAGCAGGTGTCCCGTCACTGCCACGACACTGCCACGACCCTGCGACCCGGGGGTTATCCCCATAATGGTTGAGGGAGCAAGCGCCAGAGGGGGCAGGAGGCTTGCCCAAGGCCACTCAGTGCTAGGGGACAGAGCGGGCCTCGAGCCCTGTGTTCCCCAAACACCCAGATGGCCGGCGCTGCTTGGGCACAGTTGCCAAGCGTTTGAGTGTCGGGGGAAAATAACTAGTGTACAAGCCACCGGGGCCCTGAGGCCGGTGTGTTCACTCTTCCCCGTCGAAAAACAGAAGAAGCTGCCCTAAGTCGTCTAAGAAGCTCTGAGGGCCCGGCCTTCCCCTAACCTGTCCTCCAAACACCAGTCTTAGCGAGGAGGGGGCTCTGGAGCAGGGCGGGGCCTGCTGCCTCGCGAAGCCCGGGACAGCCGCTCTGTTGCATTCCTCATTAACCAGCTGTCAGTGAAAAATGAAGAATGCATTTCAGTCTGTGCAAAAATGCTCTATTAATGCCCAAGGTATTCTTGGGCCTCTGCGAAGCCTGCCTTATCCAGCCCCAATTCTGTCTTCGCTCTGCGGCGTACCAGCTCTAATGGGGGTGCTGGAGAAGGGGTCTTTCTGGTGACAGCTCCTGAGTCCCTGTGTTACAGCTTCAGAGGTCACGGGAATAGACAAATGTGTATTTCATGTAGATTTCATTCAGATGAGAATAACAGTTGAGAGGCAGCTGCTCCCAGGAGCTGCCCCCTGTCTCTGCTTCTCCCTTCTCGTTCCATTTAACTCACGAAGGTCCGCAAGGAGCTACCCGCGGCCACGCTAGCTTCGCTCCTTTGTGGACGGGCTCAGAAGGTCCTCAGCCTCGCTGCTGTGGGGGGTGAGTCACAGTGCTCAAAGGCGGGCAGGCCTGGAGGGCACTGTGACTAATCGGCTAACTGGCTCGTCCATTCTCCAATGCCTTTTGAGCACCTGCTGTGTGCTGTGTGAAGAGGGTGCGATCTCTGCTTCTGGGGAGGAGGACAGTTCCCAGAGAGTGACAGGAGAGTACAGTGAGAGGTGCTGTGGGTGCAGAGCCTGGGGCTACCCCTGCTTGGGCAAATCAGACAGGCTGCAGGGGAGATGGCACCTGGGCTGGTTTGCCATTGGCCAGGTGAAGCATCAGAGAAGGACGTTCCAGGACCTCGTCCCTTCCTCAGCACGGTGGTGTTTCGAACCTTACCTCTTGGCCATACAGACTTGAAGGGGGGCCTTTACTTATAACAGGGTGGACTCGAAGCTTCAAGACGACCACGCGTACAGAAGTCGTGGAGTGACGAGCCACGTCCTGCTCAGTTCCTCAGTGTAAGTGCCAGTGCAGGTCCTGGGGCTTGACTATGGTCACACTCTTCACTGACCCAGGGACCTCCCACCCCAGTGCCAAATGCAAGTTGGGTTTTTAGTTTCAGTGACTGTGCCACAAGTGCACACATGCACACGTGTACACACACACACACGCACACTCTCCAGCTCTCACTCATTCCACTACTTCCCCTGGTTACCGCTGAGTCATGTGCATCTGGTGCCCTGCTGAGACTCTGTCACCCTGTCACCTACCCTTGCCTGCAGTCCAAGGGACACGCTCTGAGCCTCTGTGAGCCAGGCCCGGAACAACTCTGGGGAGGCTGAGGTCCTTGCGAGACACATGTCCCACACCCCAGGAGCTCCCAGCCCCGTGCAAGAGATGGACACTGACTCAATCCCTTCTCCATACAACAGCACGTGGAAGGTACTGGACGCGCAGACACGTGCAGCCCTGCTGGCCTTGTGGAATAGTCAAGGGAGGCTTCTTGGAAGAGGCAACACAAGTGTTGGGTTTTGACAGCTGCATAGGAGTGAGCCAGGCAA